ATTACTAGGCGTTAACGCGTATGGTTATCCGAGATAACGCATGGAAATGCATTGTTTTAGTAATAGAAAAGCCAAATAGACAATTAGTACATGGTAACGCGTATGGTAACGCGTGGTAATGTGTTCTGTTCGTAATAGAAAAGACATATTATAAAACAATTAGTACATGGTAACGCATGTGGCAATGCGTGGTAACACGTTGCTTTAGTAATTTATACTTCAAAAGCGATATTAAACATTAGTTTATAGTAACTTGAATAAATTAAAACTTTGACCCCACCAAGTAATCAAAAATTAATTAAAAAATGGTTATAGTTTCATCAACATTCAATTATCGATTAATTAACTTGAGTAACTAAAGTATTATTAATCCATGTGAAGTTATAGGACTTTCTCTAAGAACTATGCGCGGTTAATTCTCTAACTTAACGGACCGATCCAAGGATGTACTCGACAGATCTCCCCCCCCCCCTCCCCACCCCATTCGGCTCAGAAGAAGACTTGATATGGTACCATTATACAACGTGGAGATCTTCGTATGGGTCTCACAATACTATCCAAATTATAGTGAATAGTAAAACGCTTCTATTACTTCACAAAAATTCTTTAAATATTTAATCCTTGCCCCCACATGTCTGGGAATTAAATTCTGCGCCCCCCCCTCCCCCCCCCCCCCCCCATGGTTATTGTGCCACACATAACATGATTTCAAATAACTTCGAGCTGCTGCCATCTAAGTTTTCTTAATTTCTAATATAATCGTCTACCAAACATATAGTGATATTTTTTGGATCTCTCCCCCATTTCTTTTATATCTCCCCCCACCCTGGTCGACTTGTCAGTACTGTACTATTCTACATGTGAACAATAACCCGAATAGTATCATCTACAGTGACTACTACACATGCACACAAAGTGATTTCAAAAAAACTTCGAGATGCTCTTAACTAAGTCTTAGCAATTTTTAAGACAATCGTCCACATAATATATTGAGACTTTTTAAATCAATCCCCTCCCCCCTTATTTCAATGTTGAAACCTACTGTACTTATCCAAAACTAACATAAGGTGACACTAGCACCGCAACTGTGTCACTGGCAGTTGAAATTTAACATATGATGTTGGAATTAAACTATATTGTAATGCCTAACAACATTGAAATCGGGGGAGGGGGTTTGTCTCAAATATTTTGTGGACGATTGGAGGCCTATTAAACACAATGAGATCAGGCCGTCCTTCCGCCTTCTGGGACATAATAATTACTATACATGAAGTTCTTCAGAGAACAAATCAATATGGCGGACGACGAAGGTCCGTTATGTTGTTGTGAATATTATAATATTCGAAAACAAAGAACACATCTACTGACATTTTGTTGTGAATGTGATGAACTTGATAAAACGGTTGATGATTGGATCAAAGGAAATCCTCAAAAACTTAACAGACTAACAGCTATAGTCGAATCATTCTGTGATCGTTGCCGTGTTCCGTGGTTCGGTGGTGCAAAGACATTTGATTTTGGCGGTGCATTTCCTGCTATTTTGTTACCTGTATCAACTTATATAGCGTGTTGGCATTATATTTTAACGATCTTGATATTCCTTGCACTTCCAGTAATGGTTATATCGTGTTATGTATTAACTATCAAACTAAAAATGAGGACCCGACTATTTCTATCTTTAAGTATCACATCAACCATTGGATGTTATGCAGTATATTTCTATTATGTTGCTCCATTCCAAACACTTCAAATCAATGCTATTCATGTTGCGAGTGTTATAGTAATATTGATATGCTTCAAGTTATCAAGACGAAAACCTGCTACCAGCCACCTTAACTCTTTCAGAACTAGCGCTACATTTTGTAGCGAGTGCACTCAAAGTATTCCATATAGAGGGAAACATTGCAGGTATGCAAATATCAAATTTCTGCACCTCGTCTTCAAGCCCCCTCTCACATATTCTCAAAGAGCAATAGAAAGGAAAACACTCCAGGGGCAGGGGGCCCAGTTGCCCCACTCGGCCACTCCAGATTGCAGAGTTGGTCAGAGCTGCCCCTGAGATTTTTCAGTGCAACGTTTTAGCACCCCTAGAAGTGCGTCTGAAGGCTCTAACCTGCCACCAAACCTCAAAAACTTCATTGCTTTTAATAGCTATTTGCCCTGTCCAGATCTCACTGCACTTAATATGCATGGAAGCCAAGCCAGTGCCCTTTTATACATGCATTGCTCTTTCAAAGTGATACATACTGGGTGGCCTGGCCTGCCCAGACTGAGCTTACTCCAATTCCAACTTCCAATTCAGATGCTACTTGATGTTGACATTCTATACTGATTATACAAATAAACATACATACTATGTGTTTTAGAATATGCAAGCTGTGCATTGTGAAGTATGACCATCACTGTGTTTGGTAATTGATTATTTAATATTAATTTTATTATCAGGATTTTGGGCATCTCACTCGGGGTTCTGCCCAGGGTCATGTGAGTGCCAGGTACATAAACTTCTGCCGTGCGCCCCCCACCCACCCCATGAAAAATCTTACACATTTTTTTGGGCTTACCTTAATCATTTTTTAACTATTGCTAAGGGAAGCCCGGCACCTGCACCCACCATGGGCAGAACCCTGATCTCACTCGATATAACTAGTTGTTGAGGGGATTTGTAGATGAAAAACAGCTGTACCGGAATTGCATGACTGCAGGCTTGATGCCTGCCAGAGGGCCGATAGTTACATTTTTCGCAACCGCATCTGGTTGGATCTAATAAATGTATAAAAATTACAGGTTTCCATTATTTATATTCAAGGGTGGAAAAATATTTTCTAGGACTGCAAGCCATAACTGTACTTTATGTGCCTCAGGGCACATTCATTGGCTACTTAAAGAGTTAAATACAAGTTAGAATACAAGTCAAATACAAGTTAAAGTGCCACGATCTGGGATTAGACAGTGTAAAATAATAGATAGGGTTCTTTAGGTTAAATTTCAGCTTAAGCCATTAAATGATAAAATACTTGATGAATGATGGTATATACTCACTGTAAGTTCCTTTTCTGTAGGATTGATTCCTGTATTGGACAACATAATCATAAAATATTCCTACTAACTGTTTTTCTGTATTTGGTCAATATTGTTGGTTGTTGCTACAATGCATTGTTATTTGATTGTAAGTGGGATATCGGATTAGTCCCTGATTGTTCTCTGGCATATGCAACTGACAGGTTTGTACAAGAGTTGTCAAGCTTGCTAATGCCAGGCATTTGCCAAGTGTTTTAAACTGGCCTAGAGATAATTAACGGTTGAAAGGTTTATTTAGATGGTAATTTCGAGTGTAAACATGGGCATACAAGACAGGGAAACTGCCCCCCCCCAATTTTTTTGTGAAAACCATGGAAATTCGTACGAATTACAGTACTTGGAAAAATCAAGAAAATTCGGGCAGATTTATCAGAATATAGGTTAAATTCAGGTCAGTTCATTACAGTCCTCCATACAAATTCGGGCAAACTCTTTCAAAAGTTACTGAAAAATGGGTATGTCCATAAATTGTCTAGCTTTGCTCCCTCGCCAGCAATTTTTTGGGAAAAAAGATAAATTAGCAACTGAAATATTTCATGTTTGATCAGTAATACCCTCCACCCCAATCTTGATCCATCCGTCACTGGGCCTGGGCCCCATCCGTCGTCCTTTTCAAGACACCAGGTTCGATTCCTGCCGGGCCTATAGTTGTATTTTGCGCAGCTGCCCCTGAGGCCTGCCACCTGGTTAGGTCTAAACTACTGGATAAAGTTTACGCTCGAAATTTCCATCTACAATTTTAACCCTTCAATGTTTTGATCCGATCTAGTAAGACGCCCAAAATCAGGGCGCGAAATAACGGCCGGTCAACGGACAATGCGGAATTGTCCGGTCAAATTCTTACCTTGCCGGCCATTTTGACCGGTTACTTTTGGTAAAAGAACAAACAAACTGATCTTCATTTTAATTAATAATCAAAACAAAGTTGTCAAGCATTATAATTAAGAACCATAGCATGTTGTCCAATATCTTGCGGGAAAAGAACTTCAATGTACGCCAGTTTTCCCACGCAGTACGTCACAAAGCCCATGGCCATGCTTTTGGCTTAAGAGTTAATTAAGGCCATTGTTTTAGCGCAGTGCAAGTTGTTTTACGTGAAGGAGTTTTTAATTACTGATTACAGTAAGGCTTTTTGTAATGCTATACTGGGAAAATAGTCACATTTTTAGGGGTATACTTTACTAGGCTTTGCTTTAAGTTGAATAATATGACCGGCTAGAAATACGGTATGTCCGAGCTAAAATTGAGTTGGCCGGTCACCTTGATCGACGTCCCTCCAGCCGTTATTTCGCGCCCTGCAAAATCTAGAAAAAATCTGCTACAGACTGTACTTACTGGCAGAAAAATGCTAAAAATAAAATTGTGGAAAAATACTAAAAACGCCAAATGTAAAACCTTCTGAAATGAACAAAAATCTTCCAAAAAAGAAAATTTTAACGAATGTCATCAAAGCAATCTTCCCAACAACAGCTTGCTCATGAACATGGAGATATTTTTTCAGAAATCTTGTGATTTCTTCACTGTGACAATAGAAGTTGTATTTTCTAACGTTTTGAAATAATTGAATTTGCAGACCAAATTAAACCCAAACCAAAACAACGAGTTACATTATTAACTCTAGGGTTAGCGCTATTTCAGCTTTGAACAACCCGGTTGAAAACTGAAAATAATATAGAAAGTCGAAAATTTACAGTATCTAAACCGATTCATATGTTGAATTGACCATTTGCGTAATAGACTAAATTTTGATCTAACTGACAAGTCTAGAAAAAAATTTCATCCCAGCTTGTAGGAGCATCACAAAATTAGTAATATTCCAAAGTTTCGTTGCGAAATGTTGTAAAATGCGGAAAATATAGCCTTGCGAAGTGTGTAATTTTCAGTCGTTTTAGATTACAAACGGGAAATTGACAGCCCCAAACGGTTTGGGGCTGTCAATTTCCCGTTTGTAATCTAAAATGACTGAAAATTGCAAACTTCGCAAGGCTATATTTTCCGCATTTTACAACATTTCGCAACGAAACTTTGGAATATTACTAATTTTGTGATGCTCTTTCAGCGGTGATGAAATTTTTGTTGAGATCAAAATTTAGCCTATTTAATACGCAAGTGGTCTATTGTCAAGATGGCATTTTAGTTCTATATTACAAAAATAGAGCCTGACCCAAACCTTAGGCTTAGTTAAGGTTTGGTGGATAATTCAAGTGAGCATATATATGTATATATATATATATATACAGGGTGTATCAAAAAAAACTGAACAGATTTGAAATTGCTCTCAATTTCGCAAAACACCTATTTGTATCTGGTTTTTTATATATAGAGCTTCTTTGGGTACTTATAATGTAAAATATTGAAAAAAATTTCTCGATCTCAAATTTTGTGAACCAGGGGGGTGTGTCTTTTGCAACAAATTAAAAATAGCTCGCGCACAAAATTTAAAAGCTGTAATCATATTTTGAGTTCATAGATTGAAAATTTGTCGGGTTTTTAATTACTGTACAAAATTTCAGACAATTTGGTTTAGTTTAAGCCCTTTAAGAGGCCGTCTCCCTAAGATCCACCTACTGACTCTCGCGTTGAAAATTATTTTTCCTTCATATTTCTATCATTTGTTAGCCTTTGTTAGTATGTAATAAATATGCATACATCTTTTGGATTCTTGTTTTATTTTTCAAGTTTTGCTGTATTTTCTATTTTGTGTCTGCCATGGCTATTTTTAGACAGTTTCAGACGTAAAATTATCCATTTTCAAAGGAACTTCAGATATGTGTACGACATAATTTGATTTTGATTTTTGGGTCATCCGAAAGATTTGCATCTATACAACAACTTGACGACAATGATTTGTATATATTTCAGGAATTCGGGTTTTTTTTAAATTTTTTCTAACGCCAATTTCGACTTGCCGGCAAAATTGCGAAAATAACCATATTTCAACTTTGTTTTTTTCAAAAGTGCAACCAGTTATACACCCAGACTAAACTGGAAATTATACTACAAATATTGGGGAAACAAACTGGTGCGCTCTGAATTTAAATGAAATACTTGCAAATTTGACCTGGCATTATAACTACACTCAGAAATTATCATCTTAGTATGACATTAAACAAACAAATTAAATCATATGTTTAAGACATTTGATCACGTCTATTTGATATTTCCAAAGAAAAAGAACAATATTTCATGCATGCTGCATGTTTGCTTTCGTTAGCATACTTTTGAAATAGATAAAAACAAGCGTGTTCCTTGGTATAATTGCAATCACAAAATCATCAATTAAGAGTTTTGTATATATTCATCCAGTTTCATCAAATATATTTATTGGTATATTGCTGTAGTTCACTCAGCATAAGCAATAACTCTTGTGAACATAAATAACATTCAAAAATTGTCGGGGGCAAGGACGCAAGGCAAATAAATGAGAAAATTTGCAGCCAATAGTAAGGCGGGTTTTCCCCCAAGGTAGCCATTCAAATGTGTTGTGTTATTTTTAGACTGATATTTTTAGATAAATAGACCTTTCCCCTTTTAAGTAAAATTTTGATCTAGACTGGATAAAAATTTCATCATAGCTTGAAAGAGCATCACAAAATTAATAATATTCCGTAGTTTCGTTGCGAAATGTTGTAAAATGCGGATAATATAGCCTTGCAAAGTTTGCCGTTTTCAGTCATTTTGTATTACAAATGGGAAATTGATAATCAGTTTGATAATCTGATTACCAATTACCCGTTTGTAATGCAAAGTAACTGAAAAACGGCAAACTTCGCAATGCTATATTATCCGCATTTTATAACATTTTGAAACGAAATGCGCATAAGTACATACTTCCAGCCGATTTGTATCTTGATGTCTAGTAATAACGCTACTCACGTGCCAACTCATTCCTCGCTTTGCGTACCAAACGGATTGTTTTTCCCTGAAGCGACGCTGCGTAGATTTCATTGCCCAGTCTATTACAATGAGCGCCGAATTCTCGTCCAGAATTTCAAGAACGTTTTGCCTGGCCATTTCTTGGTTACAGGAACGAAGAATCATGTGACATTTCCATTTGAAAATGTTTTCCTTGCATTTACCGAAATCGTCTATGTAGTCTCCTTGTTGCTCGTTAGAATACATGGTATTTGAAGCAGTGTGACCAGATTTAGCATAATTATGCTAGTTTAGCTTAATTTCACAAATTTTTGAAGAGATTTGGAATAATGAAAAATTTAGCATAATTTTAGCATAAAATAACTGCTTGAGCATAATGTTAGCATGATGCTGAAAAACTTCCTTTTGCAAATTTCAAATATGCTTTTTTGTAATGGGGAGGGATGGAAATTTGAGGAAAAGTAGGCAAGTAGTCTAACATGTCTATTGACGAAGTCCAGGTGAGGACCTCCC